AGGGGTGCAGGGGGATGGAGGGGGTTACAGAGATAGGGAGGGGGTGTCGGGGCTGGAGGAGGTTACAGAGATAGGGAGGGGTGTAGGGGCTGGAGGAGGTTACAGGGATAGGAGGAGTGTAGGGGCTGGAGGAGGTTACAGAGATAGGGAGTGGTGTAGGGGCTGGAGCAGGTTACAGGAATAAGAGGGGTGTAGGTGTTGGTGGGAGTTATAAGGATAGACCACAGAGGGGCTTGCAGACAGAGAGGGAAACCTTGCAGTGAATATTTTCTTGGACCGGAAATTCTGTGAAGGTGTGCCGGCTGCAGAGGTTGATCGGTGAATGGGGAGTGGTGCACATTCAGAAAGAGGGTAACAGGGGTTTGGATGAGCTGAAGAATCGAGAGGGTAGACACAAGGGGACACCAAGGCCACAAGTGAAGAACCGTGTGGGTTCGGAGTTAATCATAGGAGAGTCGAGAAAAACAGTGTTTTTCAGTTTGTGTGAGAGATGGTGAAGTTCAACCCAGAACGAGCTCTGTGTGAGGAGAAAGGTGGGCAGCTGTGATTTCCGAATAATTTGGAGGTAATCTGGGATAGCGCAGGAGGACGTCGTGGGGGAAAGGGGCAGATTCCTTCTGATTGCTCCATCGTTCTCGATTTCTCAAATGCCACCCAGGTCCTGATCAGTAGCGGCTGTAGTTTGCAAAGATATGCTCGCCGTCTTTGGGCTTGTAATCGCCGATACCTGCCAAGCAAAAGGATTAACAATCTCAAGGATCTCTCTTCACATTGAAGAGCTGTATTCGGAACAGCGGATAGAGGATGGGAGAGAGACGGAGCGATAGCGAGGGAGAGAGAGAAAGAGAGAAAGATTGGGGAGGGGAGAGAAAGATATTTACAATCCAGAGTACTGATATTTTCCTGATTTTAAAAATGATATTTATTTACGGGATCAAGGCATTGCTGGTTGGGCAGCATTTATTGCCCATCCCTAATTGCCCAGAGTCAACCACATTGCTGTGGGTCTGGAGTCACATGTAGGCCAGACCAGGTAAGGATGGCAGTTTCCTTCCCTAAAGGGCATTACTAAGCTAAATTTCCAACAATCGATAATGGTTTCATGAATAATATTCCAGAGTACAGTAATGCGGATGTAATGTTACTGGATCCATTATGCATTGTATACTAACTACCGAGTGGAGTTTGTCAATTCACTTCTGAGGAAGGGTCACTGGACCCGAAACGTTAACTCCGATTTCTCTCCACAGATGCTGCCAGACCTGCTAAGTTTTTTTTACAGCCATTTCTGATTTTGTTATTGCCAGTTCTTACCTTGATCCAGTGGTTCTGATCCACTCAGGAGCTGCCAGTAGGTTCTGTTTTGACTGGAAGCTGTTAGGGTCCGAACGGTGGTCAGAGATGGTCCCCACAGTGTCTTTGTGACAGTAAAGCTTTAAACAGAGGATGGGGTATCATTCAAACTGACAATCAGAAACAACAAGGTGGAGAAATTATCATCGCTCCCTTTTATTGTCCTGTCTCTCCGTCTTCGCATTCTCAATCTCTCTCACACTCTCTCTCTCACTTTCCCTCCCTTCGACTCTCCCTCCTTCAGAAATGTTAGTCATGGTGTTACTCGTCAGATAGAAACACTGACTACTTAGATCAGATGTAATCAGACACAAAATGCAACTGCAACTGATAGCATAAATGGAGAACGATAAAATGTGAGGGAGGTCAAAAAAAAACAAAACATAACAATCGCTGACAGTGAGAACATGAGACTCAGAAAGAGACAGAGAAAGGGAGCGAAAGAGAAACAGAGAGAAATAGAGACTGATCGTGACAGACAGAAAGAGATAGAAAACAGAGTAAAAGGGAGGGAGAGATGGAATAGAGAGACAGACAGAGAGAGACAGAACATGAGGCAGAGAGAAAGACAAACAGAGAGAAAAACAAAAAGAGATAAGGCAGAGAGAGAGAAAAAAGTGACAGGTGGGGTGACAGACAAAATGGAGAGAGGCACAGTGAAGAGAGAATGAGAAAGAGACAAAGAGATGAGAGAGGCACCAAGAGAGAGAAAGAGACAGAGAGGGAAACAGAAAGATGGGGAGAAATGTTGAGAGAGACAGAAAAAGAGATAGAGAGATAACAGAGAGACAGAGAAAGGGAGACAGAGGGAGAGACAGAGAGCGGGAGAGAGACAGAGAGGGTAACAGAAGAAGGGAGATGGAGAAAGGTGGAGAGGGAACTAAACAGAAAGATACAGAAGAAGAGAAAGATATATGAGCGAGAGAGACAGAGAGAAGGAGACAGATAAAGAGATGAGAAAGACAGAGAGAAGGAGACAAAGAGAGAGAGATAAAAGACAGGAGACAGAGAAAGAGATGAGAGAAAGAAAGAGAGAAAATGAGACATAAGACAGACAGAGGAGAGAGATAGAGACAAACAGATGAGAGAGAAAGAGAGAGGGAGACAGAGATTGATACAGAGTGAGACGGAATGGGAGCTGAGTGTGACTCTGGCTTCAGGACCTTAGTTTGGGATGAAATTCGATTGGCAATCCAAGCCCCTCTGATCAAGGACAGCAGGCCTAGAAATTCCCGACCGGGGCAGATTCAGAGTCAGAGGGTGGGCAGACCCAGAGCCTCAGGAGACCACCTATGGGAGAGTTGGAGATGGATGTCAGTCTCCCCCTACTTCCCAATATAATCCAGGAGAAGTCCACGCAAGTTGGTCAGGCAAGCACCTCTTTCACAGTAGGCCCTACCTGAATCGATCGGGATGCAGATCCCGGGCCTTCTCCAGAACCCGGATCAGGACACTTCCTCCCGGCACGGAAACATTCACGGCATCGCTGAAGGTATGGGTGAGCCCATCCACAATGTTGTATTCCACCGTGATGGGGACAGCCTGGGTGGTGGGAGGTGATGATGTACTCACCACTGGGAATGTCAGGTTATCTACAGAAAGAGGGGCAGAATGGCACAAGAGTGAGGAACCTCAGAGGCCAGACTAAGCAAAACTTCGAAACCAGTGCCGAAATGGAGTCATAGAGTCATACAGCATGGAAACAGACGCTTCGGTCCAACCAGTCCATGCTGACCATATTCTCATACTAAGGGGATTGTGATCCATGATTACCACAAACTTTTGTCCATAAAGGTATTGCTGGAACTTCCTGATTGCAAATATGCCCACCAATCCTTCTTCATCTACCTGGACATATTTACGGTCTCTATTAGCCAAGCCCTGGATGCAAACGCTGTTGGACACTCCTCTCCATTGGGCCACCTATGAGCTAATACTACCCCAGTGCCATTATATGTCAATACCAGATCTCGCTTGGGATCAAATCTACCAATAACTTAGAGGATGACAGCTGTTTCTCCACTTCACTGAAAACTAATGCTTGTCTATGCAACCGTTTCCTTGGCTGACCCTCTTTTTTTAACGAGTCAATGCAAAGGTGTTAGGTTGGATGCAAGGTCAAGTATGAACGTTCTGTAATAGCTTTCCAGCCCAAGAAATTACCTAAACTCCTGGGCACCAGGGGCACCTTTGGTCGCCCTCACGTTATCTTCCAACCGGTCTAACCCCCCGACTGTGTGAGGATCCAATCACAGAGTTGAGAACAGGTCCTTCGGCCCATCACGTCTGCACTGGCAGAAACCATTCTCAATCAATGCTAGTCCCTCTAGGCCCAAAACCTTGAATTTTATGACTTTCCAAGTGCCTGTCCCAAGTATCTTTCAGATCATAGATCATAAAATCCCTACAGTGTGGAAACTGGCCCTTTGGCACAACAAGTCCACACCAACCCTTGGAGCATCCCACCCAGACCCATCCCCTCATAACCCACCTAAGCTACGCATCCCTGAATACAATGGGGTAATTTAACACAGCCAACCCCCCAAGCCTGCGTATCTTAGGAATGTGGGAGGAAACCGGAGGAACCTTACACATACAGGGGAAGAATGTGCAAACTCCACACAGAGAGAGTTGCCCGAGGGTGGAATCGAACCTGGGTCCTTGGCGCTGTGAGGCAGCAGTGCTAAGCACTGAGCCAAAGTGCCGCCCCTAAAGGTCGTGAGGTGTCTTGCCTCAACCCAGACAGTGCTTTCCAGACCCCCGACTTAAACACCCTGTGGGTGAGAGAACCTTCCCTCACATCCCCTCCATAACTCCTGCCATTCACCAACATATTATGGCTCCTTCGTTACTGACCATTTGACAAAAGGGGAACAGTTGTTTTTTATCAACTCTGTCCATGCCCTTCTGAATCCTCCACACCACAATCAGGTCTGCTGCTCAACCTCGTGGTGAAGAAGAAAGCCTCACCCGCTGAATACAGAAATGAGAAGAATTCTTCACACACAGACAGTCACAAACCTTTGTAATATGTGTCCTCAAAAGGTCAAGGAGGCAGAGTTTTCCATGCAATATAAGATCAGCGCTGAGGGAGAGCCGCACTGTCGGGGGGGGGT